ATTTGGGAAGAGTATTGAGAATTATGAAATACTACTTGATTGCCTCTGGAAATTGCCTGATTGGGCATATATGAAAGATCATGTAATCCCAAAAGCTCAAGTAGAAGAAACTCCAAAACTTCGTCTCATTCAAGCCTTTTTTGCTCTCCATGATAGGAATACAAATGGTGTAGGAGATGCTGAAAATATAGTTGGAAAAGGTGTTGATCTTGCTTTGGAACAGTGGTGGCAATTGCCTGAAATGTCTGTACACTCAAGGATTCCACTTCTGCAGCAATTTCAACAGTTGGTTGAAGTTCAAGAATCTGCTAGAATTCTTCTGGATATTGCCAATGGGAACAAAATTTCTGGAAGTTCTGTTATCGGGGTTCAGGGAAATCTCTATGCTGATCTTAAGGACATCCTTGAGACTTGGAGACTTAGAACTCCTAATGAATGGGATAATATGTCTGTCTGGTATGATTTGCTCCAATGGAGGAACGAAATGTATAATGCTGTTATAGATGCATTCAAAGATTTTGGCACCACCAATCCACAACTTCATCATCTTGGTTATCGTGATAAAGCATGGAATGTCAACAAGCTCTCTCACATAGCTCGTAAGCAAGGTCTTTATGATGTATGTGTGACGATTCTTGAAAAGATGTATGGTCACTCAACTATGGAAGTGCAGGTAATTGATACCATGAGAAATCCACATGACCTCCAATGAATTCATCTGTTTTTTGCTTTTAGTTTACAGTTCTATCAGTCAGATGCTTCTGTGATTTTTATTAATTAGTAACTTGGATGAGCATGTTGAATCTGATGCTTTCCTGAGCCTGTGTCCACATGGCTGTTTGTTACATTTTCTTGTGTTGGTTGAGTGTTAGCTGCAAGCATCTCACTAGTTTTTCTGTTGCTTATATGCAGGAGGCCTTTGTTAAGATAAGGGAACAGGCAAAGGCATATCTAGAAATGAAGGGAGAACTTGCTAGTGGTCTCAATTTGATCAACAGCACTAATCTGGAATATTTTTCTGTGAAACATAGGGCAGAAATATTCCGTCTCAAAGGGGACTTTCTATTAAAGCGGAATGACTCTGAAGAGGCTAATCTTGCATATTCCAATGCTATCACCCTCTTCAAAAACTTGCCTAAAGGATGGATAAGCTGGGGAAACTATTGTGACATGGTATGCATTTCGCTTCTTTTCTTCTTTTTTTTTCTCATCCAATAGATGTGTCTGATATTCAAGACTTGGTACATATTTTTTATTTTATATTGCAGGCTTATAAAGAGAGCCGTGATGAGAATCATGAGATTTGGTTAGAATATGCTGTTAGCTGCTTTCTTCAAGGCATTAAATATGGTGTTTCTAATTCAAGAAGCCATCTAGCTCGTGTTTTGTATCTCCTCAGTTTTGCTACTCCCAATGAACCTGTAGGGAGGGCATTTGATAAGTTCATAGACCAAATTCCCCACTGGGTCTGGCTTTCTTGGGTTCCACAGTTATTGCTGTCCTTGCAGAGGACAGAAGCACCTCATTGCAAACTTGTTCTACTAAAAATTGCTACCATGTATCCTCAGGTAAGAAGTGCTTTTATTTATTAGTTTTTATTTTGCTCAATATATGTGTCATTTCAATGTTTAAATTATCTTAATCTTCTCTTTTTTGAATTTCAGGCTCTGTATTACTGGCTTCGTACGTATTTGCTTGAACGCCGAGATGTTGCAAATAAATCAGAACTAGGTAGGATGGCAATGGCTCAGCAAAGACTACAACAAAATGTCTCTGGCACCAATGCAGGTTCTCTAGGTCTAGCTGATGGAAATACCAGAGTGCATGGTGGGGGCAGTTTAGCCCCAGACAATCAAGTTCATCAAGGAACCCAACCTGGTGCTGGAATTGGATCTCATGATGGGGGGAACTCTCACGGGCAAGAACCTGAAAGGTCCAACATAACAGAAAGCAGTGTGCATGCAGGGAATGATCAACCTCTTCAGCAAAGTTCTTCGACCATCAGTGATGGTGGTCAAGGTGCAATGAGGCGTAATGGTGCTTTAGGTTTGGTTGCTTCTCCTGCCAGTGCTTTTGATGCTGCTAAGGATATAATGGAGGCTCTTAGAAGCAAGCATACCAATTTGGCTGGTGAACTTGAGGTGGGATAATCCTTTCACAGACTCTTATTGTACTTTGGTGGTGCATATGATTTATGGCTCCTCGTATGCGCTCTAGAGAAAAGTGGGCTTTCTTTATTCTTGATTTCTTGTGAGGATGAGGAAGAGTGGATTAATAATAATAGAAGGGAAAAGGAAGTTTCTGTTTCTTGATTGTTCTTGATATGTGCACCTTTGACATGATTTTTCCATTAGTCCTATTTTTTCAAGACATGGGGTAATAACTTGACCAAGGCATGCAGGTTAACCATATGATAGATTGTTAGATTGCTATTTCCTGGAACATGCTCTTGCTTAATATGCCGATTAGATGTTACAAATTGAAAGTTTTTCCTTTTTGCAGATTCTTTTAACAGAAATAGGTTCAAGGTTTGTTACTCTTCCTGAGGAGAGACTTCTTGCTGTAGTTAATGCCCTGCTGCACCGGTGTTACAAGTATCCAACTGCTACCACAGCAGAAGTTCCCCAGTCTCTCAAGAAAGAGCTGTCAGGTGTTTGCAGGGCTTGCTTCTCTGCAGATGCTGTGAACAAGCATGTAGATTTTGTAAGAGAATACAAGCAAGATTTTGAACGTGACCTTGATCCAGAAAGTACAGCAACTTTTCCAGCCACACTTTCTGAACTAACAGAGAGATTAAAGCGTTGGAAAAATATTCTCCAGAGCAATGTTGAGGACAGGTTCCCAGCTGTCCTGAAGCTGGAAGAGGAGAGCAGGGTGTTGCGGGACTTCCATGTGGTTGATGTGGAGATTCCAGGGCAGTATTTTAGTGATCAGGTAAATTAGATCTGCGTTTGCATATTTTGTAATATCCCAGTAATTAGCCTGTTCTTCTGAAACAAATTCTCTCTTCAACATTTAGGAAATTGCACCTGACCATACAGTAAAGTTAGATAGGGTTGGAGCTGATATACCTATTGTGCGAAGGCATGGAAGCAGTTTTCGTCGTCTGACTCTTATTGGCTCTGATGGTTCTCAACGGCATTTTATCGTCCAGACATCTTTGACCCCTAATGCTAGAAGTGATGAACGCATACTGCAGCTCTTCCGTGTAATGAACCAGATGTTTGATAAGCACAAGGAATCCAGGCGTCGCCATATATACATTCACACACCAATTATAATTCCAGTTTGGTCACAGGTGATAAGTCTGTCTTAGTGGTGTCCAGTCCTTGACTTGTTTTCTATTTCTGTTGCCCTTTTTCTTTTTCTTTTTCTTTTTTTGGGTATATCAGAGGATGGGCTATACAATAGGAGATAACCCTCTCCTTCTCAAATTGATCCCCACCCATCCTAGGGTTGAAACTTGAGATCTTCAACATGAAGACTCAGGTTCTTAACCACTGGGATGGTCCCTTGGGGACATTTCTGTTGCTTTTTCTAGTCTATGAACAAGATAAAATTCCCACACATATGACATGTGAGAGTTCTATGTAGTACATATCCATGCAGGTTCACCCTAAACAGTTGGTCAACGCCAAGATTAATTCTATTCTTTTATTCCTGTTCTATCCTGATAGTTGTTTGTTCAATGAACAGGTCCGCATGGTTGAGGATGATTTAATGTACAGCACATTCCTTGAGGTTTATGAAAACCACTGTGCAAGAAATGACCGAGAAGCAGATCTCCCCATTACCTATTTCAAGGAGCAATTAAACCAGGCGATATCTGGCCAAATTTCACCTGAAGCTGTTTTGGATCTTCGCCTCCAAGCCTATACTGACATAACAAAAACTTTTGTGACAGACGGTATCTTTTCCCAGTACATGCACAAGACTCTGCAAAGTGGCAACCATATGTGGGCTTTTAAGAAGCAGTTTGCCATCCAGTTGGCCCTGTCAAGTTTCATGTCTTTCATGCTGCAGATTGGTGGAAGGTCACCAAATAAGATCTTATTTGCTAAGAACACTGGGAAAATATTTCAGACAGATTTTCATCCTGCGTATGATGCAAATGGAATGATTGAATTTAGTGAACCAGTGCCTTTCCGTTTGACAAGGAACATGCAAGCATTCTTCTCTCATTTTGGAGTGGAAGGGCTTATTGTTTCTGCCATGTGTGCAGCAGCACAGGCTGTTGTCTCCCCTAAAGTAAGTGTCCCCAGGAGTATCCCTCAAAGTGAGAAAAAAAAAAAATGGTAGAAAAGAAAAGAAAGAAAGTTGTTAATTGGCTTTTAACATATTTTCCTGCATTGCAGCAAAGTCAGCACTTATGGTACCAGCTAGCCATGTTCTTCCGGGATGAGCTGCTGTCATGGTCTTGGAGAAGGCCACTTGGGATGCCTATTGCTCCTGTTGCTGGTGGAAGTACTTTGAATCCTGCTGACTTCAAACATAAGGTAACCACCAATGTGGACGCTGTCATTGGAAGGATCAAAGGAATAGCTCCCCAGTCCTTTTCGGAAGAGGTAAAACAATTCCTACCAATGTCACGGAGTATCCATTTGAGATTTACCCATTTCCTGTACTTGCTTTCCGTGACTTCATCTATTGTGGGATGGTCTTTAACTTAATTCCCTGGACTTGTGTTTTTCGCTCTTCCATTCAGGAGGAGAATATCGCGGACCCTCCACAGTCGGTGCAGAGGGGTGTCAATGAACTGGTTGAATCAGCCTTGACAGCTAGGAACTTATGCATGATGGATCCGACGTGGCATCCCTGGTTTTGATGACTCCAATATGTGTCAGTTAAGCAGGTTGCCACTTCATCTATT